TATATATATATATATATATATATATATATATATATATATATAAATTTGAATACACTTAATAAATTTCCCTCAAAAAAGAAAAAAAAACTCACCTTGATCATAGTTCTCAGACATGTATTTGGCATCCTCATGAAGATAAAAATCAAAACATAGCTTTCCCAGTAAATCTATAGGGCGATATCCAAGAACATCAGTGACCCTTGAAAAATATTTTTTAAGTAAAGAAAATTGTTTAAATAGCTTCTATAAATATAGATAAATATGTTATAATGTGTGACGGTTTTAATGATAAAAATAACCACTGTATAAATAGAGAAATAACTGAAACTAATATATTTCTGTAATGTTTCTAACTAAATATAACTACAGACATATTTCTGTTTTTTTTTTAGTTTACTAAACCTTGTATCTTATCTCAGATGTTAGGTTCAGAGACTTTTAGAAAATCTTTAACAGTGTCATTAACTAAAGAAAGTCTAACACTTCATCTCTTATTCATTGGTCTAATCTTATCGCTTCTCATCTGAATAAGCAGAGTTAATGGCTAAGAATTTTTCCTATAACTTGAATCTTGAATCTAATAGCCATACTTTGCCTGCCATTTCAGTTAAACAAGTTAACTCAATGTTAGACATCCAAATCACTTTGGCTTCCGATACTAAAGTCAGTTCTCAATTAAACTCTCCTACAACTTGTGGTTTAAATCATAGTTTCCATCATAGTCTTACAAAATTGTTCTCCAGAACAATTCATAGTTTCCATCATAGTCTTACAAATTGTTCTAAACTATTATTAAGTTCTAAATAAGTAGTTTCAATATTCAAAAACTCTAAAAAACACTCTTTAACTATTCTATGACTAGTCTTCTATCTAATATTAGTTTCTTCATGTACAAGTTTTAAGAGAGTACTGCAAGGTTCTATCTTTGCTCCAGTATTGTTTCTTATCTAAAATAAAAAACTTCCTGACAATCTTACATTTAAAGTGGCTCTATTTGCTGACAACTCAACTTTATGCTCTTGTCTTGACAAAAAATCTCTACTTTTTGATTGCTTAGAACAAGCAGCTGGTCTTTAATCTGATCAATCTTCTGTAACAGCTTGTAGAAAGCAAAGGCTTCTGGATTTTAACTCCAATAAAATTCAGTTATTTACTGCATACAACTATCGCAATATTATTGAAATTCTTATTTGCCTTGTAGGATACGTCTTTTTAGGCAAAGGCTAGGAGATGCTAACTCCAACATAAAACAACCCCTGCCTTGGGGCTCTTCGTTGAGTAAAGGATAACATTGGTGTCTTGATAAAATTACTCATCTTGGGCAGATTTTAAATGCATCCAGCTGCTGTATTGTAGAAGGCCTCCTAGCCAAAGACTTAAGAGGTTCTATAAACAGATTCTATCTGTTGACCAGCAATGCACCCCATCTTCATCTATTAGGCTGGCGCAGATGTATTTTTAATACATTGTTTCCAGTTTAGGATGTTGAATGCTGGATCTTCTTGACTTGATATATGGGTTTTGCTTATGTCTCTGTTTTTATGACTAGGCAACTCATTCTATTATCTCCTAATGAGGGTACAGCTCTAAAACTCAGTTTTATGGTTCTGAGGCCAGCTGGTAGTTACCACAGAGTTTCCTAAACTCTGTGGTAGCTCTCAGAGAAGTTAATTCCATAAACAGCTGAAAAATATCAAAGTATTAACAGTGCCATGTTGCGCATGGATGGTGTCCCTGTTTGTGCTTTTGGTGTGCATTGCCAAGGCCACATTGGAGTCTTTTGTTATGGCTTAGGGTTTATTAAAAATAATGAGGCAACTGCTTGGGTTATGAGGTTAATGAGGCAATTGCTTGTTACAGCTTAGGGTTTATTAATAGTAATGAGGCAAAAGCTTGGGCTATTAAACACTGTACTGAGTACTATCTATGTTTCGAGTCAAGTTCTTTAACAAATTTAAAAATGAATAAAGTACCACTGTCATCGCCAAGTTCGCTAAACATTCACTTATATTTGTGGTTTTCGAAGTAACTTTTCTTCTGTTGAGCCTTATCTCTTGCAAAGTTCACCAGACCTACTTGCTCTTTGTGAGACTAATTTGAGTTCAACAGTTTCATCTTGTGAGCTTAGTGTTGATGGTTATCTTGCTTTAATTTGCAAAGACTCCAATAGTCACATGCTTGGCCTGGGCATTTACATTCATAAGAGTTCTCCCTTTTACCTTCTCTACTCGAGTTATGTCTTGTTTCTGATCCTACTCAGTGCTCAGTTTCTCCACATTGCGATGGCCCTTGGGTAGAAATCTTTCGTCTTCCTGTTGAAAAATGTGCTTCTTACATAACTTTGTGGATTCAGGCAGGCATGGAATCCTTTATTCCCCCTCGACGATACCAGGTAAAGCCTCACTCTTGCTTGACATTTATATCACTCCAGCTTATGTACCTAAAGTAATTTCCTGCTTAGACTCTTCTTCAGCTTGCGGCCCAGACAACATACCTGTTATAGCTTTGCGAAAGTGTTCTCCGGAGCTGTCGTCTATCCTTTCAAAACTATTTAACAAGTGCTTATCAGAGTCTTGTTTTCCAGCCTGCTGGAAAGCAGCATCTGTTATCCTCATTTTTAAAAATTCTGGAGAGCAATCTGATTCATCTAACTACCGACACATTAGTCTTCTTCCTATCATAAGCAAGGTCTTTTAATCTTTAATTTATAAACACTTTATCTCTCATCTTGAACTTAATAATTTACTTTCTGATCATCAATAAGGATTTTGATCTTCTCGTTCTACGGCTTATTTGCTAACAGTAATAACCAATAGGTTTTGTCATGCATTAGATAAAGGTAGAGGGGTTAAGGCCATCACTCTTTCTAAAACGTTTGATAAAGTTTGGCATGATGGTCTTCTCCATTAGCTTTCTTCTTACGGTGTATCTGGAAACATCTTTAAAATTATTTCCTTTCCAGCACTCTTCTTCTTATTCTGTAACCTCAGAGGTTCCTCAAGGTTCAATTCTTGACTCTATACTCTTTTTAATTTACATTAATGATCTTACAGATATTCTCATATCTAAAGTAGCATTGTTCGCTGATGATACTACCATTTATTCTTGTCATGATAAGAAGCCAACTCTTTCTGATTGCTTAGGATGGGGGCATTTGAGCTTGAAAAGGATCTCGCTTCTGCTACAGCATGGGGCTCACAGTGGCTGGTGAACTTTAATTCAGATAAAACACTTTCACAATAATTTAGACCTTCCTATATTTATGAACTGTAATGTACTTGATGAGTCATCTACCCTTCATCTTCTAGGATTTGCAACCTTTTGTCAATAAAATCAAACACAAAATGGAAAACGACATCACTCTTTCTCAAAAAAGGAAAGGACGGAGTGGGTCAAAACATAAAACCACTTCCAGGACAGTTTTTTCTACAAATAAAATTCCAAACCTTATATCAAATCCGTTGCAAAATTAGCATCTGCTAAAGTTGCATCTCTTTATTGAGCTCGACACTTACTCTGGATTCTATTCTCTATCTCTATAAATCTCAAATCCGACCTTGCATGGAATACTGTTGCCACATCTGGGGCGGATCTTCTAATGATGCCCTTTCTCTTTTAGACAAGATGCAAAAATGCATTGTAAACATAGTTGGACCTGCTCTTGCAGCCAACCTTCAACATCTGTCACATCATCGTAATATTGCTTCTCTTTCTCTTTTCTACAAATACTATAATGGGCACTGCTCTAAAGAGCTTAATCTACTTAAATTCATTCTCGTGTCACTTGTCATTCAATTAAGTCTCATCCTTTTTCTGTGGCTGTTCCTAAGTGCTCCAAAAACTTTTATTCCTTTAGTTTTTTTCCTCAAGCATCAGTTTTTTGGAATTCGCTTCCTTCATCTTGTTTTCCTGATTCATATAATTTGCAATCTTTTAAGTCGTCGGTCAATCGTTATCTTACTCTACAATCTTCATCTTCTCTCTTCCAGTAACTTCCAACTCTAATTAGTGGTTGCTTGCAGCTTTGTTGGAAGCAAAGATGTTTAGAAAAAAAAAATATGTATACATATTTATATATATATATATATATATATATATATATATATATATATATATATATATATATATATATATATATATATATATATATATATATACCAGTGTTTAATAAATAATAAATGTATGCATAAATTTATAATATATAAAGCAATATAAATTTTTTTTAGCCCTCCTATCAAACTCTGCTAAATGTTATAGTTTTCCCGGGGCCAGGTTTGTAAAAAGTCCAACTTTTAGCCAGGGCTGAGACAATGATCACTTACTACATATTGAAAAGCTACCTATACCAGAACCACAGAACCTTAAAGTCACAATTTGGTTCTATGAAAAGAAACAATCAAAAACAAGACATTAGATTTTCAAGAAGATTCATTTTCAAATAAATCATATCTACTATCTTTTCAAATAAATCATATCTACTATCTTTTCTAATAAGTCATATACTATCTTTTCTAATAATTCATATCTACTATCTCAAGTAGATCTCAAAAATTTGGCTTGAACTTGTCCCAACAACAGGCAGAACTATTAGGCTCTTGATTAAAGAATTTAATGTTACTTTTGCATAGTGTTGTGACCAAAACTAAAAATTGTAACTAACTAAACTAAAAATACCGTAACTAAAATTAGTTGACTAACTTTTTAGTTAACTAAAATCAGTCGACTAACTTTTTAGTTAACTAAAATCAGTCGACTAACTTTTTAGTTAACTAAAATTAAGCGACTAACTTTTTAGTGAACTAAAACTACCCGACTAACTTTTTAGTTAACTAAAATCAGTTGACTAACTTTTTAGTTAACTAAAATTACCCGACTAACTTTTTAGTTAACTAAAATCAGTTGACTAACTTTTTAATTAACTAAAATTACCCGACTAACTTTTTAGTTAACTAAAATTACCCGACTAACTTTTTAGCTAATTTAAATTAGTCGACTAACTTTTTAATTAACTAAAATCAGTCGACTAACTTTTTAGTTAACTAAAATTACCAGACTAACTTTTTAGTTAACTAAAATTAACCGACTAAGCTTTTTGTTAACTAAATATACGCGACTTTGTTTTTAGTCCAACTAAAGAATTTTATAAATAAATAATATAAATAATTTAGGTTCATGATATCATTTCTATTAGAATTTTTGAATAAGATTGCGAATACATAATCATTTTATTGCATAATACCGCAAAAATAAAAAAATATCAAAATAATTTTCTCTTATTATTATTAAAATATCAAAATAATTTACTCTTTTTGATTGCAAGTCATAAAAAAATATTTTGTCATTCCTCCTTTCAACGAAATGACTTTAGCTATTCGGTCTGGCATACTTTTAATACAGTTTATTGCTGCTGTCTTAATTTTTTCATTGTGGTGCCAATGATAGAGTAATTTTTCAATCAAATCCTTTTTGTTTGTTGAAACCTCAGAAGAGATTTCCTTTTTGAGAATGTTCCACAAATTCTCTATCGGATTCAGGTCAGGAGAGTTCCCTGGCCAATCTAAAACGGGGATATTTTTTGTTTTAAGACAGTTTGTGATCCTTTTAGCTTTATGGCATGGAGCACTATCATGCATAAACATAAATGTATTGTTATTTGGAAACCATTCTTGTATTTGGAGGATAAGTTGACTCTCCATTACCTCTTGATACTGTATTTGGTTCATCATCCCATTGACAATATATAGTATTCCTATGCCTTTACCACTAATAACTGACCACACCATAACTTTAGTTGGATGTTTAATAGTTTGTACAATGCAATCTGGATGATATTTTTTGTTTGGTCTTCTTCGGACGAAGGTGGTTTTGTCCAACAAGATCTCAAAAATTGATTCGTCTGAAAAACACACCTGAAAAAATCATCATAGTGAGGTTGTACATAAGTTTATGTCAACATTTAAACACTTTTTTAACAATATTTCATTCAAAATTGATAAACTTACATGTTCCCAATCTCCAATAGTCATATACTTATGATTTTTTGCCCATTGCAATCTCTTTTTTATCATTGCTGGAGTTAGCCTTGGTTTTTTAACCGATTTGTGTGATTTTAAACCAACTTCAGCCAGACGTCTCCTCACTGTGCGCTCCGAAATTTGTATTCCATACTCCTGAACAAGTTTTGACAGCAAGAGGGATGATTTTTTTCTATTTTCCAGACAAATATCTCTTATAATTCTGTCTGTCCTGGAAGTGGTTTTACGTTTTGACCCACTCCGTCCTTTCCTTTTTGGAGAAAGAGTGATGTCGTTTTCCATTTTGTGTTTGATTTTATTGACAAAAGGTTGCAAAACTTTACACATTTTTACAATTTCCCGTTGTGAACGCTCTGAATGTTGTAAAGTGCTTTTACTTCTGAAATTTTGCTTGGACTTATATCCTTACCTTTACCCATGTTTATTTTTTATTGAAATTTTAAATTACAACCTGTTACAATAAAAATGTTAATAAAATGGTACTATATATTAATTCTTGCTATTTATAGTAACTTTATAAAATGTATTAAAAATAATAAAACACTGTTAAAATGTAAAAAAAAATGTATGTGACAGATCAACCACATTTTTTTCTAAATTAACAAAAATTCACATTGCTGACTTAAAACACACCTTACTTCACATTGGTCATGATTATAAATAAATTTATCGTTTCTATTTTATTCGATAGATGTCAGTATTGTATAATAAGCTAGTAATAATAATATACTCACCTTAAAATTACTTTAAAATAATTTTGAAAACAAAATAAGTGGAAAAACTGAAGTGATCATAATATTGTGGCCAGGTACTGTAAGTTGGGAAATGTAGATTTTCAGAACAGTCAGTTGGTAAATTTAAAAAAACAAGAATTTTTTTAACAACTGAAAATAACAACTGAATGGTTTCAAATATTGATGTTTTTGTATGAAAATTTGGAATTTTTTAATTTAGTTTAAATTCATTAAATTTAATACTGAAGTTTTTTCTTGTAATAAATATTTTTAAATACATTTATTGTTCTAAAAGAAATATTATTAAATTTAGTATTCGAACTCTTTTGTGAGAGAAAAAGAAAAACTGATTTTGTTCAAAAAAAATCAAAAAAAAGAAAACTGATTTTTTTTTTTTGATACAAAAAATTAAAAAATTAATGTAGTTTTTTAAATTTAAAATGTGTTAAAAAAAAAAAGATAAAGAAAAAATTGAAAATTAAAAAAATTAATGTGTGATTTTAATGTTCTTGAGTGTGCGGTTTTATTATAATGTTGCCTAAAACAGCAAACTTTTTTACCTTTATTATTTTAATAGTTTTTTTTTTTTTTTTTTAATATTTATTTATATATTCTTTAGTATTTTTTTAAACATCTATCTAATGAAAAAATATCAAAAATAAATATAATAAAAAAGTTATTGAATTTTAATTGATAATTGTTTTGACCCAGTTTTACACGTATTTCAAAGTGCTAAAAAACTACGTATTGCATTTTTCAAGTAATTAAAATGTCATAAACAATTTCCTGGTTTTAAAAGCGACCGCAGTTACTTAATAAAATGTTTTCGTTATTCAACAGTTAAGTAATATTTAATACATTTAATACACTATTCAACAACTTATATTGCAGATGTTGCACTCAAAAATGCAAATACCAATTTTCCTTTTAAATTTTGCAAGTATCGCCAACCGACGAAAAACTATACTCTGAAAGCAAAAAAAAAAATAAATTCATAATAACTTATTTAACGATTTCCTTTTGGGTTCATGTCAATACTTTCCCCTGCCTTACTATAGTGTTTGCGGGTTATAATAGCTGTTAGGAGAGGTTGATATTTGAAGAGGTGGGGAGGGGGAGTCATAGATTTGTTGTGAAAATTAGAGATTGAATCCATTCCTATAATATGGCAGGGGACAGGGCTGTACTGAACAATGAAGATGTAGGGGGAGGGGGGTGCATATGAAATAAGCTTTTTTACCATAAAAATCTCTCCAAAGTAGGGCTTTTTTTTATTTAAAAGCCAAGTTGCAATTTTAACCGACCGAGTCTCAAATTTTCTAAATTACCAACAAAACCGACAGAATGTTGTAACCCCAGGAAGATGCCCATACTCATGTTGGTACGGCCTTAGCAGGAGAGATTATTTTTGATTTGCGATTAATATTGCACACTACATATAGGAAGAAGCACATAAAAAATATAAGTTAAACATTCAATAAGCGTACCAAATTTGATATAATTGACTAAAGGGCATTACTTGTCTATTCCATGGTGATTGGATGTTTATAAACAGTTGCAACAACTTCATAGGCAGTTGTCTCAGAGCTGGGAAAAAATTAAAATAATCGAATTTTGCTTAAAACATCTTTCTTTTGAATAACAGTTTAGTTCGACTGGGCTCTAGGATTCACAACTAGTAAAGCATTATTAAGGCGATGAAATAATATTTATCGCCTTAATAATGCTTCCTCGTGTGTAAAATTTTTATGCGAAAGATTGTTTCTTTTTTCAAGCATTAAATCTTGCTTTAGTCGACTAAATTTAGTTACACTAAATATTTAGTCAACTAATTTGAGTTAACTAAAAAGTTAGCCGACTAATTTTAGTTAGACTAAAAAGTTAGTTGCTTAATTTTAGTTAGCTAAAAAGTTAGTAGGGTAATTTTAGTTAACTAGAAAGTTAGTCGGGTAATTTCAGTTAACTAGAAAGTTAGTCGGGTAATTTTAGTTAACTAAAAAGTTAGTTAACTAATTTTAGTTAACTAGAAAGTTAGTCGGGTAATTTTAGTTAACTAAAAAGTTAGTCTACTAATTTTAATTAACTAAAAAGTTAGTTAACTAATTTTAGTTAGACTAAAAATTTAGTTAAGTATTTTTAGTTAGACTAAAACCTTAACTCCCACCCCTACTTTTGCAATTGAGATATAAAGTGCTAACAGATTTTTTTCACAAGGAAATCAACTGGTCTGTGGCATAATGATTGTCTTGAGTATAGGATATAGTACAAGTTTAATATCTGTATCTGTGGGGTACTGATAGTTCAAATTTAGGTTTAAAAACTGTTATTTTATTGGCAATAAACTTTCCTCTAAACTTACCATTAGGAAATGCTTTCAGCATGAAAGAATATTTTAAAATTATTAAATTTATCTTCAATAAAAAATTCAATAAAAAGAGCACAACTGCAAAGTTTGTGCTTTGAAAATGATTGATCTAATTTTTGAAATTAATTTGAACTTTCTAATAAGTTAATTTAATAAATGAAAATAAAACATAACTAGATAAAAGTTTGTTAATTTTATTAGTCAATAAAAAAACACTTTTTGCATGTTACTTTCAAAAAGCGTTTTTTTGTTGACTAATAAAATAAACTTTATTTTTTAATTTTCTAATTATAGATAATTTAAATAAAATTATTTTTGATAAGTTTAATTATAACAAAAAAAAAAAAAAAAAAATTAATTGTAACAAAGAAAAAGCCAAAATACTTAAAATAAATATATATGTATAGACTTAAAAAAATGGTCTAAGTGCTAAATAAACTTCTACTGAATAAAGAGAAGGCAAAAGAGATATTGAAATAGTGTTTGTAAGTTTTGTTATATTGAAAATTGGACTAATTGGCGGGTCAGAATAAAAAAAAGTGCAAGAATGCGCCTGGGTCAAGTATAGAAACTTATCTCAACTTCTAACAGCAAGAGGTGAATTATAAAAGATTAAAGGAAAGTTAAACAACATATGCATTCAGATTAGTATAATGTATGACAGTGAAACATGAGAAATAAAGATTGAAGTTGCAACTTAAAATATAGAAGATGATGATTTTTTACTTCAATTTTTTTTCATTTTAATGAAACAAATTTAAACTACATTTACCTTTGATCAATAAAACTGAATCGCCCATCCAAAGTTTGTCTAGTTATGAACTCACACGGAGAAGAAGAGTCTAATATATCTTTACTAGTTGGCATACTGGTTGGTTGCAACCTACCAATAGCAATTAAACAAAGAAAATCTTCTTTACTTTTTTGTTCTGTGTTACATGATAAATCGCTCAGTATTCCATCTTCAATATTCTAATTTAGAATAACAATTTACAATTTTTAACAATAAAAAAAAAATGTTACACATCATATTAAAAACAATTTCATCAAAATTTTTGTTAGATATGATATCAGAACATTTTCAATAACAAATTTTGTTAGATATGAGTAGAATTATTTTAAATTAAGTTAAAAATAAAAATACTTAATAAACTATAACAAAAAAAAAAAAAAAAAAAACTATAAGAAACAAAAAATATAATAAATATATAAATATAATAAATAAATTTTAACTAACTCTACCTAGTATTATAAACCAGTAAATTAAAAGATTATAATGTGATAATAATATATTTTAATGATTTATATTTTAAACAATATAAAATATATTTTAAACAATATTTTACTGCTCAATTAATTGCCAAAATAAACAGGGGGAGGAGGGAAGGTTGAAGTATTTCTTTTAGCATAACTACAGATAATCTAATTTTAGGCTCCCATATTCATTATTGTAGACTGATGTAATAATTTCCCTTATATATTTAGACTGATGTAATAGTTCCCTTCCTCTTATATTATCATCACAAAGCTACTAATTTCATATTTTAGGAAATTCACAGTATTGCCACTTATGACATTTGTAAAACTATTATAACACCAGTAGCCACACAGCTAATTTAAAAAAAAGTTTGCTAATTTGACTATTTTCCTTCTTTTTCATCAAAATTATAAAATTGTTCAGATGTAACCAAAAAAGTTGCTAATAGCAATTTCTGTTTAAGTTGCTAACAGCAACTTCTGTTTAAGTTGTTAACAGCAATTTCTGTTTAACAGTTTATAAGAAAAAAAAATAAAGAAGATACATGTAAAAAGATTCTTTGCAAATTGTACAAAATTATATTTGTGTGTATATGTGCTAATAATTTATGTGCTATAAATTAGGATATAAAGTCATTGTGAATTATTTTTTTCTTTTGTTTTCTTAATTCATAGATTTTTAAACAAAAAATAAAAAAATAACTTTTTTTAAAGTCTTTTAAGACTTTAAACAGTTTACACACCTAACTAAAAAAAAAAAAAAAAAAAACTTTTTATGTTTAAAATTTCAGGCAAAATTACATTACTGCAGTCGCATTCACTTCTCTTTTTTTAAAACCTGCAATAAGTTATCGTCTGGTTGAAAGTAAATGACAGTTTTTAGCCAGCAATTAAATAAACTCTTATGTCTGTTTGGTTAATGGCAGGAGTAAATTTAGTTATCACAAGGCTGTTAATGCGAAAACCTAACCCTGCTATACAGTCACAGCTATAAATCTAACCCTGCTACCTACAGCTATACCTTACAGTTAAAACTGCTATAGGAGGAATTTTCTGTAATATTAGGAAAAGTAAAAAATAGTGTTCAATCAAAACAAGTGTAAACAAATAAGTTTACATTTGTAATTAATTGTAATAATTTGTAATAATACATTATATCAAATTTATATCATTTAATACTCAATTGTAAAAAAAAAATTATGTATATAAAATTATATATTTTATATATTATATTTATACACTAACTAAATTTTAAAATAAATTATGAAAAATAAAAAAAAAATAAAAAAATGTTATTATAAAATGTATTTTGCATTTGATTTTAATGCACATACTATTACAAGAAAATATGAATGTTAAATACATGTGTATCTGTATAACATTTATGTGTTTATTTATTATATATATATATATATATATATATATATATATATATATATATATATATATATATATATATATATATATATATATATATATATATATATATATATATATATATATAAATTTTATAAACATCAATAAATACGAATTTCTCTTGATAGTAAATTTAGTTTTTAAAAGAAATTTTTGTTCCATTGTCATAACCAGTGTTTTCAGCTTGAAAGTTTTTTGTTTGTTTTTGTTCATATCTTATTTTTAAAATGGCAGTTCTATTTATGTCAATGGGATGGTTTCATCTTTTTCTGACATAATTGCGCCAGAAACGGTGTCCAAAATTTTATTGACGCATATTGTTCCATATCTAAATTAATGCCATTTTGTTGAGGGGCACATTGGTGGTACTGTATTTTAAGTGCCTCACAAACTTTCCTATCAAAATTTTTAGCATCAACTTTTAGAGTTCTGCAATTTTCCCAATTATTTGATGTGCACAATATTTCATGTGTGTGGCTAATGTAGATTGTTATGTTTTATTTCCTATTGCACTATTTTGTGTTGTTGCATACGTGTTTTCATTAGCATTTTTGTTTCACTTATATACTTTTTGTCACAATGTCATTTAATAAGGTAGATTCCTGGGTGACTGTTCATTTGTAGCTTGGATTTATTTCTTGATTTTAACAATGCCTCCAGGTTCTAGTTTGATTTGACCGTTTTATACCTTCCTTAGGTAATTTGGGAGACAATATTGGTACCCAAGGTAATGAAATCCTTGGATACGTAATGGTGATGTTTTCAACGTTTTTAGTAGTCACTAGTGATTTTTTGTTCTTTCGTTTTATTTCTTTTATAATTTTAATGAGATTCGACTGTTTGTAGCCATTTTCAACAAATAATTGAATAAGGAATTTCAGTTCATTTTCTATATTTTTCTGACTGCATACATTAAATGCTCTATGTATGAAACCCTTGAATATTCCATTTAAAATTTGTGGGTCATGGTTTGATGTTGCCTTAACTTGAATGTTAGTAATTGCATTTTTTCTGTGTATTTTAAATTCATATTTACCATTTTTGTTATTTATTATGCATATGTCTAGAAAATTTAGTGCTTTTTTGTCGTTTTCAAAATTAATAGTATATTGTATTTTTGGATGCTGTTGATTGAGTATTGTCTTAAATTGATCAGCCTGGGCAATGTTATGTTGATCTGGGCAATGTTAAATTGATCAACCTGGGCAATGCTCTAGCATGACTGTCATCTACGTATCTATAATTCAATAAGTGTCTTGGTTTTCAGCGCTGTATTAATTGCTCTTTTTTCAAGATGTTGAAGAAAAGATTTAGCTAAAACTGAAAATCATAATTGAAAGGCCTATCACTCCTGAATTTTCAAGTTCATGTATTTAATTGTTCCATAAAAGGCACTTGAAATACAGTACTACCAATGTGTCCCTCAACAAAATGGTATCAATTTAGATGAGGGACAATATGTGTCAACAAAATTTTGAACACCATTTCTGGCGCACTTATGACAGAAAAAGATGAAACCATCCCATTGACATAAAATAGAACTGCTGTTTTAAAAATAAGATATAAACAAATACAAACAAAAAACTTTTAAGCTGAAGATGCTGGTCACCACAATCCATATATATATATATATATATACAAAATATATACAAAATTTCTTTAAAAAAATAAATTTAGTATATATATATATATATATATATATATATATATATATATATATATATATATATATATATATATATATATACACACAGTGGGGTGCAGAATTATAATCTCACCTGTATAGAAACCTGAAAACTATCTTTCAAAATTTGTTGATCAAATTCTATTTGTAGATCATTTGTTGAAATAAACAAAATAATTTACATGAATCTATTTATACTTTAATTAACTCAAATTATAAAATCGTTTAAAACCGTGGTGCACAATTATAACCTCGTTATCTAAATTGCATCAAAAGCCATCAAAAAATAGTAGTAAGTTCAGTTTTTAAATAAAATTTATTACATTTAAAAAATCTAAAATACATTCTTATGAATGAAAGGAGTTACACTCTCCAATGAAGAAAAAAGCAAGATCGAAGCCTACAGAAAAAAGCGTTTAGCCGACAGGGCAATTGCTTGCAAACTGAGACATTCACCACGTTTGATCAATAATTTCGTAAATGATCCAACAAACTATTGCACGAAGCATCGAAGTGGTCAAAAATCTATACTTAAAGCTCGCCAACAGCGACAAATTGTGCATGCTGCTAGTAACCATACAATCTCTGCGAGACAAATAGGCGCTGATTTGGGATGGAAATGCTCAAGATGGACAGTGAATCGTGCAATTAACAAGTCAGGCGTTCTTAGTTATGCAAAAAATCGTACATCTCCAGCACTAACTGAAGCGCACAAATGCATTCATCTTCAATAGGCCAAAGACCACATGACTTGGGAAAAAGAAAGGCGAAATATTGTGTGGTCCGATGAAAAAAAATTTAATCTTGATGGTCCAGACGGTTCCAACAACTACTGGCATGACATTAGAAAAGAGAAAATATTTTTAAAAAGAAGGGCTATGAGAGGTGGATGAGTAATGATTTGGGGTGCATTCGGTTATATTGAAAAGAAATTAATTATCTTTATTACTACTAAATTAAATGCTGAAGGATATAAAAACTTGTTTAATGGTCATTTGAATGATATTTCTCAAAAATTTGGTAACACCAATTTTAATTTCCAGCAAGATAATGCTCCAATTCATAGAGCAAATTTAAATATCACATGGTTTACCAGCAAGAAAATTCAATTATTAGAATGGCCAGCGTTCTCACATGATTTAAATCCCATCGAAAACATATGGGGCATCCTAGCAAGACATATTTATGCAGAAGGGAAACAATATTCGAATGTCAATGAATTGAAAAAGGCAATTGTTCATGTTTGGAAGAACTTATCTCTTGCAGATCTTAGAAAACATCAGAAAGTATGCCAAATCGAATATTTGAAGTTATTCAGAATGGCGGCAATAAAACAAAGTACTAATAATAAAATTCAAATTGCAATACAAAACATAGAACTTTGTAGAGTAAAATTAAAATGAGGTTATAATTTTGCACCATAATTTCTCTAAAATTTTCAAGTCAATTAACAAAATAAAACCAGACTGTATTACAAATGAAATATTAATCAAGTAAGATATTAAGCAATTGAATAATTTAAAAATAATTATTTAATTTTGGTGAGATTATAAGTTTGCACTGCCCTGTATATATATGTATGTATGTATATATATATATATATATATATATATATATATATATATATATATATATATATATATATATATATATATATATATATATATATATATATATATATTATATTTTATTTAGCATTTTTTCTATTTTATTTAAGCATCTGATAGTTCATCTAGTAAATCATTATTAGTTTCACCATGTTCCAAATTGTCATAAAAATAGGCGCTAAGGTAAATATCTTGAGGACCTGAAGATCTTTATATTTGGCTGCAGAAATATAAATTTTTATCTGATATAGTTTTACAGGCTCAACAATACTAACAGCTTTGAATGTCTAGAGTTGGACAAAATAGTGGTATTATTTTAGAAATCGCTGGCTGCGATTTACCAATTAAACAATATCCTTATCTGTTTATATGCAATGAGAAAAACAGCACCAAAAGGAGTTAACAGAAGAAATTTAAATGAAAAAATTATCTGAGCGGTTAATATATGGAGCTTAAATGGCAGGATTAGAATACCATTTATTTCCTTGTTTTAAAACCATTTAAAGTTTTTTTTTAATTTAATTTCTCTGTTTAACAGAAGTTTAAGAGAAGTGAATACAGTTTTTAAGAGAAGTGAATACAGCTGCTCATCATTTACTTGTTTTATTCATTTATTTACATAACTCTTTTTGAACCTTTATAAAAAATAACTTGAATAATTAAATATAAATGCCCTATAAAACTCACCCTTATATAGCCTGTGCAATGAACAACTGAGTATATTTTATCTTGGTAAATGACACGTTTATCATTACAATTGTTTACTTCATGAATGTCATTTTCGGACTTCTCATTTTGTACATCACCACACCGCATCCGAATCAAAAAGCTTCGCCGCGAGCCACTCTTCAAACAATTTTCTTTAAAATAAAATCAGCTATTAAAAAACTTGTTCAACATTTTGTTGTTTTAAAACATTTATAAGTAGCATTAAATAACGCTATATAGGCATTTGCTGCAAAGCAACACTGTTTTTTAGCTATCTAATTGATGGCCTAATGTTTTCTTGCTCCAAGCGTTAATTAGGTAGGTATCTCAGAAAAATAAATTTTTTTGTTACATGTTAAATAAACTTTTATGTTATGATTTTAGACAACCAGCTGCCATTTTTTTCAGATTACCAATGTTTATTTTTATCAACACTTTGCACACTTTGTTAACTCAACCATATGATAAATTTGATTTCGACTTTCATTAATTTTCATTGATTTTAAAATAAAATAACAACAGCAGATGATTAATTAAATTTTAGATTATATACACAAATATATATATATATACACAAATATATATATATATATATATATATTTTAAAATACCCCCTGTTGAGTTATTAATATTGTTTCATAAAGTTCAAATAAATACAACGAAAAAAAATAAATTTATAAAAAAATATAAAAATAATATACATAACAAGTACAATAAAAAAATAAATAGATTAAAAAATATATAAAAAGATATTAATAGACATAAACCACATAAAATAAAATATAAAAAATATAAAAAAATGAACACAATAAAATAAAACTTTGAATGAACACAATAAAAATTAACCATTATTTCCAACAGCTTTAATGCTTGCAGCTGAAAATAAATAAATTTTATTAACTCAACATAAAAAACATTTTTTAGAAGTTATTTACTTTCCTTTTTTTTAAATATTAATTGCTATTTTATTTAGTAACAACATAGTCATACTTTTTAAATCGATTATTCTTGTGTCTTTTGAAATAGAAACGTCAAGCTGATCCCTTAGTTTATCTTTATCTTCAGGATGAACAAGATCAAAAAGATTTCGGTTAATCCAATGATTCTAAAAAGATTTTTTTAAATAAGATTTAACTATAGCATAGTCAAGATGCAAAACTTTTATAATTGGATTTTTCATTTTGTAGCATATGTCTAGGCTGATATTACAAAGAATACAAAAAGATATTAAGTAACAGTTTTATCTGTTAAAAAAAGTATTATCACAACTTGCTAACTATCCAACTATTCTTAAGTTAATATAAATAATGTAATGTTAATGTAAGGTTAATGTAAGGTTAATGTAAGGTTAATGCAAGGTTAATAATGAATGAAATAAGTTCAGGATTAGAATCTTTTATTTTCATTAAAAAATTGTTACTAGAAGCCCTATTTATATCTTAAGAAACTCCTAATACTAGATAATTGATTGTTAGTACTAGATAATAGTAATTAGTAGTATGTTATATGTGTTTATAATTATTATATATTTTCATATTATATTATTTCTGTGTTTTCAAAGTGGTGTGATTTGGCAATGTTTAAAGCAAGATTATTAATATGAAACCTGAGTGAAGTTATAGAGTTGTGACTTCACAGTAGAGAAGTTGGTGAAGTATTAAATAATGTTACTGCTTTAAAGCTAGGTTTTGGGAAAACATAATAATGTTTGTTGATAATGAGCATAATGTGATGTGTACTTAAAAATGTCTTATGCGATATTTTCTTTTGTTTGTTTGTTATTGCTGAGATATTTTGTGTTAATAGGCAGTTGACTTAAGTTATCATTGGAGTTTGTCAAAAATTAATAATAGGTAGGTTTGTTACTGGAACTTATAACCACAAAATAATAAAAGGTAAAACAATTTAAAACAATTTAAAACAATTTTTACATGTTAAGCATTATTATGTTTTATTATAATTATAATATTTCCATTAATTCCATTAATTTTCATTAATTCCATTAATTTTTTTATTTTAGATTTATCATGACATTTTTATGCAATATAGAAAATAAAATTGAAATTGTGTTTTCAAAATAAATGTTTTCTTTAATTTGTAAACTTTTGTTAATTTATTATAAAAATATTTTTTCCTTATTTTATGCATAATAATTTTGTTGAATTTACCAAAAGGATCTTCATAAACATATATGTGGTAGTGGTGTAATGGTAGAGCGCTTGCCTCATAAGCAAGAAGTTCCAAGTTTGAGCCCCACCACCCTCCTGGCAGTACCGCGCTCAACTTGTTTGTCTTTGTCTCAACTTGTTTATCATGCTCGACACTTTCTTACTCCAGATTCTATTCTTTATCTCTATAAATCTTAAATCCGTCCTTGTATGGAATACTGTTGCCATATCTGGGGCGGATCTTCTAATAATGCCCTTTCTCTTTTAGACAAGGTACAAAAATGCATTGTAAACATAGTTAGACCTGCTCTTGCAGCCAACCTGCGGTAGTGGTGTAGTGGTAGAGCGCTCGCTTCATAAACGATTGGTTCCGAGTTTGATCCCCACCACGTCCCTGGTAGTACCGCGCTCAACTCGTTTCTCCGTGCAGCAGCCTTGTTCATCAAGGTTCATGTTTCAGAGTTATAGTTGAGAGAGGGTTATAACCACAAATAAATAGCCTCCTCGTCTGTAGTGGCCTTCTCGGCCTTGAGGAGGTGAATTAAATAAATAAATAAAAAATAAAAAAAAAACCTTCGACCATAATCTCATTGTTGTAATGATGCTTCTTTTTCTCTTTTCTAAAAATACTATAATGGGCACTGCTCTAAAGAGCTAGCGTCTCTTGTGCCATCTACTAAAATTCATTCTCGTGTTACTCGTCATTCAATTAAGTCTCATCCTTTTTCTGTGACTCTTCCTAAGTGTTCCAAAAACTCTTATTTGTTCAGTTTTTTTCCTCGATCATCAGTTCTTTGGAATTCGCTTCCTTCATCTTGCTTTCCTGATTTATATAATTTGCAATCTTTTAATTCGTCCGCTGATCATTAGCAGTATTATCAATTACTAAAACCAATTCAAATAGACTATAAATAACAACTATATAAATGGAAGGTTTGTAATAAACCTACCATGACTCAGGTCCCTTACTGTTTTGTTTTTTTTTTACTACTTTTTTTAGATTATTCAGATAGCATTTTTAAAGATATAAATGAACATCGTTGTTATATTTTGTTAACTTATAAATAAATGTTAAAATATTAATTTTTTCTTCATATATAAGAAGAGAAGGGGGCCGAGGGCAGGCCTTAATTAATGGGAATGTCATAAAAATACCTGAAGAAATATCATAGGCATTTTCCAATATGTTTAAACCAATTAATTTCTACCATTTAACTAAAAACTATTGAAATAAAGAGACCATATAATGAATAAGTATATAAATGGTTGGTGCGAAACAGTTTTAACATTACAATATTAAGCGAGTAATAACTCGTTTAATATTATATTGTGCTTAAACAACTATGATACAAAGTGCAATAACAAACAATTGTGTTACTCTTTAAAAAAAAAATTTAATTTTACTATGGGTAAATGTAATGAAATATTTTAAAAGTTTATAATTATAAATAAAAATAATACCAAACTTAAGATCTTGTTGACTCATATGTTTATCATTTCAAGTTGTTTGCAAATATTTTTTTTTTAATTTAAAAATACCTAGATGACATGTCAAAATTGGACAGATAACTCAGATACCTGCAAGCCCTTAAAAAATGTTCATATGATACACAAGAATGTAAAATATATTTAAATATAAAAAAAAAATGTAAAATATGTATGTTATATATTAAATGTTATATATTAAAATATATTATGTAAAATATATTTAAATATAAAAAAAAATAATAAAATATAAAAATATAAAGTATAAAAAGTAAAAATAAAAACAGTTTTTATACATTTTTAAACAAGTATTTAGTAATTTAACTTTTTTAAACATTGATATTTTTAAAAATATTTAAAAAAAGTCACCTGAAGCTGATTAAGAACAGGTGTTATTGCATCTGATATGTAAATTAGCCTGCCGGTTTTACATAAAACCACAAATAAAAAGCCATCTGTTGCCTAAAAAAAATTTATATTTTTTAATACTTTAAAAAATAATAATAATTTCATAATTTCATATAATTACCTCAAGCACTAAATGTTTAAGCTCCTCATCAGAGAGAAATGTTGGTTTTAAATCTTCATCTTTATTTGATGAACCTTACAACAACAACAAAAATAGTTTAAAAAAAGATGATTTTAGTTAAAATATACAATTAACATAAATTAACATAATTAAAATAAAATATTGGTCAAAAAACATATGGGTTTGGTTGATGTCAATACTATTTATTATAAGACAAGGTTAAACATGTGATTTCTATTTAAGGAAGAAAAAGATATTATTACTATGATTCATAGTTAATATCTGCTTAGTCATTAGAGTGATCCATGCAAACGAATAACACAATATACCATTGGTAGAGTATCTGTGTGCAAATAAGTTTGGACATTTTACTACATGTGTGATATGGGTATGTTTGAAAAGTTAAAGAAATATTATTTTGACATGGAATAAGTGTCAGGGAAATGGAAATTTATATAAAAAATTATATTTAACATAAAATAAATGTCGGCGCAAATTCATATAAAAAAAGTAACAATCAAAAGGTTGTAACTGTGAAGGACGCTATAGCAACATTTTTGCAAAGAGGAAAAAAATATTTAATCTACATATGCTAAATTACTTTTAAAGTTAACATTAGTCAGAATTTAGGCAAAATATGAGTCTATTATTAAATGCACCACAACATTTGATTTGTTTGCACAATAACATTTCAAAAACATATATCTATTGTGCCTTTGAAATGATCCATAGATCAATTTATCATATCACCATAGATTTACTTCATCCCAACTTAAAGATCCTAACTTTCAAGGACAGCTTAAAACTCATTAAAATCAAAACAAAGATATATTACTCATCTTATAAACCCTTATTTACAACAATAAAGAAATTTCAAAAGCTACAAAAAAAATATATATATATTATAATAACTCAACCAAGGTTTTTCAAAGACATTATTATTTACTAAAGAGGAAGAAGTTGATCACAAATTGAAATTTCTTGATATAATGATTACCTTAGTAAATAATAAATTTGATACTTTAACGTTTTATAAAAAAACTTACCCAGGTTTACTGACTAATTTTACCAGCTTCACTAATATTAATTATAAACTAGGACTCATTAAAACACTGATTGACAGGGCTTTCAAATCAACAGTAACAGGCTAAGCTTTCATCTAGGTGTTGTAAAAATAAAATAAACTCTCCAAAAAATTCTTTCTCTTTGAACTTAATTGACAAAACCTTAAAAAATTGACTAAAGAACCTTATCTCTCTTATAGAAAACATGTCATCTTTAAAACCACCTGATATACATTACCTTAAACTCCCTTACATTGGACAAACACACTATAACACCAATTAAATAAATATATTAAAAATTATTGTAAAGATAGTATAAAAGCAAGACTAGTTTTTACACCTTTTAAAATAAGTAGTATGTTTTCATCAAAAGACCCCTTGACCTCAAATTAAAAATCCTTTGTTGTCTATAAATTTGTATGTTCATTGGTTCAATGTATGCTGCATACATTGGTGAAACCACCAATGTATCCAGCATACATTGGTGGTTTGACCAATGTATGCTGGATACATTGGTGAAACCACTAGACACTACACAACAAGTATTTCAGAACATTTAAATTCATATTTACAAACATCTCAATTCATCACAAAAATGCAAAAACTCAACAAACCTTGATTGCTTATCCATTATTGACAGAGTTTCCTCCAAGTATGAGTTCAAAATTAAGGAAGATATCCATATTGAAATGGAAAAACTTCTTATTAATACACAATTAAAATCATACACTCTTACTATAACAATATAATTTCTCGATATTCTTACATTTTATTTACTATTTTATTTATTATTAATTACTTCATACCTTTTGTATAATTTTTTGCAAAATTTCATGGTATTTTATAAAATGTAACTATGGTAACTATTGTGAAAACTATCAAATTTTTAATGTAGCCAAAAAAAATGTTTATATACAAAAATTGTACCTAATTTTTTATACCTGATGATTTTAATTGATATTGATGAAACATGTTGTTAAAAAGTTAAAAAAAAATTGTTATTTATTTGAAAATTATATACACACACACACATATATATATATATATATATATATATATATATATATATATATATATATATATATATATATATATATATATATATATATATATATATAATATTTAATAGAAGCATATATAAAGTATAAAATATTAACTAATTTACTTTAATTACTTAATAATATAATCGATTTAATCGTTTCTTACTAAACTGTAATAAAAAGCAAACAATAGTTTTTGATAAACTGTAATGGAAGAGAAAAAATCAGAATATTGTAATTCTATAAAGTTCCATTTTGTAGAATTTTTAGTAATTATTTTTATAATTGTTCTCTTTCACTTAATAATTTTGCTAATTTAGAACAATAGTTGTAAACAAATAATTAAATTTACAATGTCAATTATTGGATAGCAAAACAATATCAATTATCAGATAGCAAAACACTATCAATGATTGGATAGCAAAAGAATATCAATGATTGGATAGCAAAAGAATACCAATGATTGGATACCAAAACAATATCATTGACTTGATAACAAAACAATATAATTGATTAGATAGCAAAAACAATATAAATGATCGAATTTAAACAAATGGTTTGATAGCAAAATAATATCAATGATTGGATGCTCTCTGCACTTTTTGTTTTGTTTATTATCAAAAACAAAAATATAGCATTATTTTATAATATAAACTATAAACTAACATTATATAAACTGTTTTAAGCGATAAAAATAATTAAACCTGTTATTATTGAAAATAAAATCTTAAATATTTAATAAAAATCGATTATACTGACAAAATAAACATACCATGTAAAGATTTCATATAATTAACAGCCATTTTCAATACTGTCAGTTTATCTGGTTTACGAACAAGACCATTGCATGAAGGTACCATATCAGATAACTCATTTATGTAAGCATTCATTTTATTTCTGCGACGTCTTTCTATCTCACTATGATTTTCTCTACAAGTAAAAAAACAAAAATTATAATTTTTATTAAAAAGTTAAACATTATCAAAATATTTTATAGCTAATAATGGTATTATTGATTTCATGATTGAATTGGTTTCTTTAGTTGTTTTTTTAGTTTTAAAGCCAATATTACGCAAATATTTTTTAATATATTAAATATCCTTGGACATGATTTTAAGGATTAATGACTCTTTTTTAAATAGATTTTGATAAAGATTTAAAGAGAAATTAAAGTTATATAATTTTTATAAAGTTAATAAAGTTTTATAAATTAATAAAGTTTGGATGACATTTTAAAAAACTCATAGTTAAAAATATCAAATTTAAAATAACTACTACTACTACTACTACTACTACTACTACTACTACTACTACTACTACTACTACTACTACTACTACTACTACTACTACTACTACTACTACTACTACTACTACTACTACTACTAGTAGTAGTAGTAGTAGTAGTAGTAGTAGTAGTAGTAGCAGTAGGAGTAGTAGCAGTAGCAGTAGTAGCAGTAGTAGCAGTATTAGTAATAGTAGTAGTAGTAGTAGTAGTAGTAGTAGTAGTAGTAGTAGTAGTAGTAGTAGTAGTAGTAGTAGTAGTAGTAGTATCGTAGCAATTGTCATTGTTACTACTACTACTATTGTGATTGTAGTAATATTATACAACTTCAATTCAAAATACCAAAGTAATTGAAAAACTAACCTAGCAAATCGTTCTTTACTCTGTTCTTTTCTAAAAAATATAAATATTGAATTTCATAAACTATAAAAACTACATTATAGATTACAAGGTTCCTCTAAAAGATCACTTTTAACTTATTAATGTTTTTTAAGTCTAACACATAAAAAATTGTGTTTGAGTAAACTTGTTCATAAAAGTTCTTTACCTAAATTCCTAAATATTAAACAAAAAACATTTTAAGATAATATTTATTTAAATATTTTTATAAGCTAAATACTTAAATATTTTTATTATGTAACTTCTTAGATTTTTGATTTTTGATACTTTGAAAAAATTTTTATTACATAACTTCCTGAAGATTTTTGCTAGGTAACTTTTTAAAGATTTTATTTAGATAACTACTTGCAATTTTTATTAAGTCGATGTAGCAGCACTACCCTGCAAGTCGGGCTATTTGTCAGTCGATGTATGTACTGAAGCCCTCGGCAGCAGGCTATTTGACATTAGATGAAATCATCATCATGCTCACCTAACTCAGCAGTATAAGATATATATCTATATCTATATCTATATCTGTATATATATCTATATCTGTATATATATATCTATATCTATATATCTATATCTATATCTATATCTATATATATATATATATATATATATATATATATATATATATATATATATATATATATATATATATATATATATATATATATATATAACTTTTATTGAAAATGACTGCTGGCACCCCCTGAATATGTTGTATATTATAAAAAATGCTGGATTTAAAAAAATTTTGAATAAAAAATATTTTAAAAAATTGCTACTGACCCTCAAACATTAAATAGGTCCTTAATATTATTAAAAAAAAAGTTTTTCAAAAGTATGTCATGTTGGGTCTCAAACAAAAAAAAATTATATATAATCAAAAAATCTTGTCAAATTCCCTATTTTTCGTTTTTAGTTAAAAAACATAATTTTCTGTTCACTAAAATTTAAAATAAAAATTTAATTATAAAATTATTAATATTTTTTAAACTTTTATATATTATCGCTTCATTTGAGACCCAACATGACATACTTTTGAAAAAATTTTTTTAAATAATATTAGGGACCTATTTAATATTCCAGGGTCGGTAGCAACCCCTTAAAATATTTTTTATTCAAAAACTTTTTGAATCCAGCATTTTTTCATTATACACAACATATTCAGGGGGTGCCAGCAGTCATTTTCAAAAAAAGTTGTTTTGAGGACCACCTTATATATATATATATATATATATATATATATATATATATATATATATATATATATATATATATATATATATATATATATATATATATATATATATATATATATATATATATATATATATATATATATATATATATATATATATATATATATATATATATATATATATATAAATATGTATATAAATATAAATATATATATATATATATATATAAATATATATATATTTATATATATATATATATATATATATATATATATATATATATATATATATATATATATATATATATATATATATATATATATAAATATATAAATATATATATATTTATATATACTGAGCGACATAATGATAAGGTACCCCAAAGTCAGCTAGTGAACTATATTGTTTACCACCTTCAAACACTATATGTAACACCTGTGCCCCACCATTCACAATAATGTTCAGGTCTGGAGATCTAGCTGGCCACTTCAATACTTCAAATACTCCGTTACTATCTTAGCTGTATAAACGCTAGCATTATCTTGCTGAAAAACAAAATTTTTACTACTTATTACAGATGCTTGACGTCTTAAAAATTCTTGAACAATTAAAAGATAATCCTTAGCCTTCATTTTATTGTCAATAAAATGAATTTTTGATTTACCATGATACCCAATCACAAACCAAATCATTATACCACCACCACCCATTTGATGTTGTTGATGTGTTACTAATTCTTTGCACAAATCGTGAAAATAATAATTCCATCTATCTAGCCCATCAACACAAAATTGTTTCTTATCAGAAAATACTACTTGTTTCCATTCTTCATTCCATGTTACGTGGTTCTTTGCAAAAGTTATTAGATTGTTTATGATTTGTTGTAAAATCATAGGGGGTTTTGGTTGAGGTTTTTGCGCGAAAGGTGAAAAGCATTAAGAATAACTCACTGAACTGTACGTAAAATTGCAATCATACCTGGTTCTACAGCAATTTGACGTGCAGTTAATCAAAAATTTTATTAACTGTCTTAACAATCTTCGCCTATCATGGTCATTTAATGTTAATGGACGTCCGAGACTTTATTTTATTCCATACATATGAGGACTATACACATAGCTTTTAATCACAGTTCGGCTGTGTCCAATAGCTCTAGCCATGTAACTAACGGAGTGACCCATTTTCGATAAGTTAGAGAGCACTTTTTTTCTCATCTGGACTCAACAATGTACCACGACCCATTATTAATTAATTTGTTATTTTATTCTTAATAAAAAAATACTAAACTAAATTTTTCACAGTTCACAAATGTTTACAGTTAAATAATCGTCTGTGGCGTTTACATCAAATAAATATTCTTAATTGCCCACAACTTTGGTTTGTAAATAAAACATTTTTTGTAAAAAAAAAAACGTTTTTTTTTTAAATAAAATGCGAGTTACGTTAAAAATAAATTTGTTAAAATGTTGTTTGGTGTTGTAAACCCTTTGCTTTCATTTACAATAAAAATTAGTTTTTAAATATATATGTATATTAGAGTTTTATAAATATTTTTGGGGTGTCTTATCATTATGTCGCGCAGTGTATATATATATATATATATATATATATATATATATGTGTGTATATATATATATATATATATATATATATATATATGTGTGTGTATATATATATATATATATATATATATATGTGTGTGTGTATATATATATATATATATATATATATATATATATATATATATATATATATATATATATATATATATATATATATGTATATATATATATATATATATATATATATATATATATATATATATATATATATATATATATATATATATATATATATATATATATATATATATATATATATATATATATATATATGTAGGCTATTAGAAAAACTGTTTAAAAACCTATTAGCAAAAACTACTAAAATACTAAATATAAAACATAGATTACTTTTTTCTCTATTCAAAAGATATTTAAAAATCACACCAATTTAAATAAAGAAACAAGATATAAAGAAAAAAATATTCATCATCTTAAAAAATGTATTTTAGTATTTAGATTCTTGATAGCTGACTATTTAGATCTACAGTGAGAAATATTCTATTAAATCAAAAGTTGAAAAAAAAAACAACAATTTTGAAACAATTTGATAACTAGGAGTTTGATACCTGTTTGAAAAGCAATATCTTGAAAATATTTGAAAATATCTTATATTGCTATGATCTTTGGTAACACTTCTACCAGTAACTTCACCAGTAAACATCTAAAAAGAAGTTTACTGGTGATTAAAAACCTAAAGAACACATTGGCCATCACTTTAAGTTACATTTTGAACAACTATATATTTTCTAGAATAAAACCTTTATAATATATTTTATTTATTTTTTTTTTTTTTAATAAAATAATTAAAAACTTATTTACAGTCTCAATCTATTTACAGATCTCCTTACTAGAGATTGAATTTAGATTTTTTTACATATTTCCTTAAGCATTTTATTTCAACAACTTAAAGCATTTTATTTCAACAACTCCCGAATCAGTGTGTAAAACAGATTAAAGTTTTGCTATTGTTTAATTTTGTAATAACAGCAAAATAATTCTTAAAAAAAATTTTTAAGCAGTTTTTATTTGGTAAATTAAACCTTTAAAACAATGAGAAGTAATTATTTTGTTTGTTTTAAAATTTTACTGATCAAGTGGGGATTAGAGAAGCAAATCTGTGACCATGCAACAAAGATTCAATAAATTTAGAATGATAAATAAAATTGAGTTGTCCAAATGTCAAAAAACCAGTAGTAGATTTACCTTTTTTTAGTGGTTTACTATAAAAACTGTCTCAAGCTAAGATCCCATTTAATTGCTTTGTGCTGAATTCCAGCAAGGCTATTTAGTTTTTTAGAAATTAACAGAGACAGAAACTTTCAATTACAGAAAGTAACATAGACAGAAACTTTCAAAAGCAGTCAAAGTAATGTAGTATAAAGTTTTAATATTTTTCATAAAAATATTTTGACATTCCAAAAACTTGAAGGAGCATTAAACATGATTGAATTTGTATTTGAGATTTTACAAGTATAGCCCACTTGAGATTTAAAAAGTATAGTCCACAAGAATTATATACATGTATTTAAAAATATAGATGAATAGGCGGATAGACATATAGATTACATGTAAAAATGATTCCTATATAATGCAATTTAGTAGAACTTCCAAATAACTATAATATAAACTTGTTATATTATGCTTGTTATGTATATGCAGGATTTGCAAAAAAATATATATAAACATGAAGTGCACCATTATAGATAAATCAATACAATTGTCAAGTTATTTGACAGTGCGCTAACGCTTATAACCAAATATTTGACAGTGCGCAAACGCTTCTGTCAGTATCATCAATAAATAAATCAGATAAGTTTTGTTTTTTATAACAATATTTTTACTAGCATAAAAAAACTATGAAGTCTAATAATAATATCCCTTACTTTGTTATGCCAGTAAAAAATTTATTAAAGCAAATTTTTTATAAAGAACAAACAACTTTATAAATATAAAAACCTCATTAGGCTTTAATTCAAATTCAGTAGGCTCCATTTGTTCTAATATCCTTTTTTTATGGTAGAAATGTCTTTTGGTAATAGCTGCCAAATTTTCAGGAATGAACGATGTATTACAATTCAAAGCCTTATAAGTAGATTTTTTTAATTATTTATAAGGATGTTTTTTAATTATTTATAAGTAGATTTTAATTATTTATAAACATGTTTTAGAAAATTGGAAATTA